AAATTACACGTTGAAACTCGATGGAAACGATCAAATATGGTTTTTAGGGATTTTAAATAATCCTGAAACGATTGGAACGGAAAATTTGTCCATCGTCGTTGACGAAATCGGTTGCATAAATTGCTCTAATAAAAATATAAAAACGATAAAAAAATTAACGGATAAAAATTGACGGGTAAAAATTTCCCGAAAGAAATATATAACGGTTTTAAAAGGATATTAAATTTCGTTTTTAATCCCGTTATCAACATACGATGATGAGAAAAATGATAATGATAATGAAAATTTTTTTTTTTTTTATTACGTCACTCATAATTGTATACGTCATCGCATTAATCCCACGTGTTTTCTTTTTTTTTTAAATATTTATATAAGAATAAAATAAAAATAATTTCATTTGTATAAAGTAAATAAATTTTTTTTTTTTTGTCTATTACACGCCCGTGTAAATTTTTTTTGAATTGTTTTTGTCGTCGTCACACGATTTGTGTTTCGATGGTGTCCCCCTTTTTTCCCGAATAAAATCAGGACAACGTATACATGAGTTTGATATATATAAAGAATGAAAATAAGAGAAAATATATTATTTTCCTACCTTATTTACGTTGATAATTTAGCCGTTTTGCTGTCGATTTTCAAAAATTTTTCGGACATCTTTAATATTCTGATGATTAAGATTTAAATGTTTTGATTAATAAAATTCCTTCACGTTAATCCAGAAGGTGATCCATCTGAAAAAATAAAAATGAATTGATTGGTACTCATTTTCTTTTCCTTTATATTAATGATAAAAATTTTTTTTGAAAAAGGTTCAAATTATTTACCTTTTCGACCTAATTTCTTATAAATTAAATCGAGCTTTATGCATTTTCCACATTTTCCAAACAGCAAACATTGAAAACTCAAAGAAAAGAATCCTGTCTTTTTGTCCCAAACTTAAGTTTCTCCTTTTGTAAGATTTGGAAAATTCGACAGAATTTCACACTCCTCTTAACCACTCCTTTAATTCGTTATTCTCCAACGGTTTTTTTCCTCTCCTCTTAAGGTGGTACTAAAGTAATCTAAAAAATTTTCTTCAAAAAAAAAAAAAAAAACGATGAGTGATAAACGAAGTAAAAATTTTTTTAAAATTAACGTTCGTACCTGGAAAATTCTAAAATACAACTGTAAGAAGGTTAGTATCGAGGAAAAAATTTAAAACCTGTGGGGTTCAAGACAAAAGTCCCTTTTTTGTTTTTTCCTGTTGGAAAATGTTTTGTTTGTGGGAAGAAAAGTTTTCTTTCACATTGAAGTCCGTTAATGGAGGACCTAAAAAAGGATGATTGATGTTAATTATTAAAGCATTTATAAAATAAAATTTTTTTTTTTTTAAATCGTTAATTAAATGACGGATTGAAAAAAAAAAAAAAAAACATTTTCCAACTTGTTTAAAAATTTTCTTTCATGTTTTTTATTGTTTTTCAACCTGTCGTCGCAAGATTTGATTCACTCTTTCTTTTTTTTTAAATTAAAATCAGGACAATTTAATTAATAAGTTAAACATTGAAGCAAACATTTTGTCTCAAATAAGTTTAATTTAAGGACATAAAAATATTTGAAAATTTTTACTTCATTTAAAAATCGTCGTCGGATTCGAAATGTTCGATTTTTTTAATAGAGTGTTGTTAAACGTTTGTTTGATTATTTTATTAACATTTGGTTTTAAAAAAATAAATTAATTAAAATTAATAGTAAGTAATTTTCTACCATTTTTTGTTTAATTTTACCGTCATCTTTGGTTGACAAAATTTTTTTTAATGAATTTTACAGGAATATGAATTTATTCCAGTAAAAGTCTTTTATTATCATCTGAGCGTCTGGTGAACCATCTTTTGTTCGATCAGGTTCAAAATGGAATTTGATAACATTTTCTTATCAATTCCTTTACGTTTATAAAAAGTGAGTAAATTATTGTAATTTTTTCCTTTCTTTACGACGCGAAAGATTTTTTCATTTTTCCAGAAGGATTTTTCAATCCGTCGTTTTGTCGAGATTTTCTTTTCAAATTTTCTCCTTTTGCTATGGAGTCGATTGAAGAAGAAGAACAAATCGAAGTCGACAAAATTTTAATTTTTAAAGACACGAGGTGCAACCGGTTTGGAAAACAAAAAAGAAATTTTCGAACCTGAAAAAGGATTACCATTAATTTTTTACCTTTGGTGTCGGTGCCTTTTCCGTGTGGTTTTTTTCTTCATCTTCTTTTTACTCATCTCGTGTAAAGTCACGTGTGAATTTATTTATTCACGTGCATATCATAATGAATTTTTCCTGTTTTTTTTTTTTTTTTTCTTTTTTCCCCCATTAAATTTTTCGGACATCTCCAATATTGGGTTGTTTTAACCGTCCTATGAGTGTGATGTATTTGTTATTTTTGTAAAACTAAAACACACGCTACCCCATTTCGTCGTCATCAATTCGAAACCTAAAAAACAAAAACGAATTGAATGACTGACATATTTCTCTCTTCCTCTAAAAAATTTATAATAATTCAAATATTTTGAATGATATTTCTCGTTGTTAAATCTATTTACATAATTACCCAAAATCTACGCAACGTTAAATCTTTCAAATGGTTTTGAATTTTCCTCTATTTAATAAACTTCCTGTTGTTGTTTGTATATGAAAGATAGAGACAACGTTTATTGCCTCCTTATTATTATGTTTACCCTTTTCTTTGTAATTTCTTCTGAATTAAATGCTGCTTAATGCATTTTCCACCGTTTTCCCTTGGACAACGTACCAAGAATCCTAGAAAACGTACCTAGAATCTTTTAGGCCTAACTTATAAGGTTTGCCAAGTTCAATAGGACCTCACTCGTTCGTAACTCCTTTAGAATAAATCCTTTAGAATCCTTTTAGAATAACGTATTAAAACATCCGATTATTTTTTTCAGAGTACCAACAAGGTTCTTGTTCGTTATTACGGATATTCTATTAAGGACATCCAGAATCGTATACCAAACCGTATTTATTTATTTATTTTACAAATGATAATATTATAAATAGCACCACCGAAATTCGAGTATTTGTCCCTAAGGAATCGGGTAGAAACCTGGGATAAATACTTAAAAACCCCGACAAATAAGAGCCTTGTCGCGTTTAATAGTGAAAATAAGAATAATACTAAAAGTCAGTAATCTATTGCAATAAAAAAAATAATTCGTACTCCGGAAGAAAAAATAACAACAACAACAAAAAAAAATGGAAGACGTTCGACGATAATAATAAGCAACTAAAAAAATTAATAATTAGATAACTTGCTAAGTCGATTAGTAATAATAATAATAATAATAATAATAAGGACATCCAGAATCGTATACCAAACTCCAATATTTTTAACTCTTCTCGGCACCGGCCTCCTGTAGTATTTCAAAAACTTTTGACCGTCCAAACGCATTTCTAAAATATTATTCAAAAGAGCGAATAAAGGTGCGAGAGGAAAGGCGGCGACAAAAATCGTTACAAATCCATATTGGATTACTGTAAAATAATAATACGGTTAATATATAAAATGATCCCAGTGTTTTTCTTTGGGAAAAAATGAGAGAGAAATCACTCACTCATTTCTAAATATTCTGGAAATAATCCTCTTGGACCCCATTCCAACAATTTGTAATCTTCCGTCCATTGATTAACTCCCAACGGTGTTTCTTCTTGTTTTTTTAACCGTCCTATGAGTGTGATGTATTTGTTATTTTTGTAAAACTAAAACACACGCTACCCCGTTTCGTCGTCATCAATTCGAAACCTAGAAAACAAAAACGAATTGAATGACTGACATATTTCTCTCTTCCTCTAAAAAATTTATAATAATTCAAATATTTTGAATGATATTTCTCGTTGTTAAATCTATTTACATAATTACCCAAAATCTACGCAACGTTAAATCTTTCAAATGGTTTTGAATTTTCCTCTATTTAATAAACTTCCTGTTGTTGTTTGTATATGAAAGATAGAGACAACGTTTATTGCCTCCTTATTATTATGTTTACCCTTTTCTTTGTGTTTCAGGTTTTGATAATTTTTCCGGCGATTTAAAATTTTCTCTGTTTGAACAAAAACCGTTAAAATTTTAGTTAAGGTCAACAACTTCCTGTTGTTTGAATATATCAAATGGCACAAAGTTTGTCAAAGTTTGTTTTTATACCTTTTCGAAGGGATTTCTTTTGAATCGTTGGACGTTTCTAAAATTTTCGTTGAAAATCGTATGACGTAACAAGAATCCTGTCTTTTCTGTTCTTTTTAAAAACAAAAAAAAAAAAAGGGGAACATGACGTTTAAACTCTGGATAGTTTTTAAAAGGGAAAAATTTTCCATACTCACCCATTTTATATCCAATTCGTTTATTTGTATGCTTTCGCAAAAATTCAAAAAATCATTGAGGGTTTTTTTTTGAATTTTTGTAAATCCTTCGTTTGCAAGTTTGGTAAAATTCGATAGGATTTCACTTTCTATTTCATTAAAAAAAATAATTGGGTGTTTGGTTTTATCATTTTCCACCGTTTTCCCTTGGACAACGTACCAAGAATCCTAGAAAACGTACCTAGAATCTTTTAGGCCTAACTTATAAGGTTTGCCAAGTTCAATAGGACCTCACTCGTTCGTAACTCCTTTAGAATAAATCCTTTAGAATCCTTTTAGAATAACGTATCAAAACATCCGATTATTTTTTTCAGAGTACCAACAAGGTTCTTGATACCTGAAACGTTAAAAATAATTCGATTATTACAATCTTAACTAAAAATTCGTCAGGTTTGATTTTTATATTGACTTACTTGACGGACATTTATAATGCACGAATTGCATTCGAAATCAACGGTTTTTTTTTTTTTTTTTAACGTTTAAATTTTCCTTGAGCCACTATAGTTAAGAAATTTTTCTTCATTACCCATTTTTTAAAAATGAATTTCTTTGTTTTTCACAATGGCTTCCCCCGTTTTTTGTACGAAAAATTACATAATCTAAAAAAAATTTATCAGGTAATTGCATGATTATAACTATAAAATAATTGTTTTGTAATAGTATAATGAAAAAATTAATAATTTATTAGAAAATTTTGTTTTCACTCACCTGTGATAACTAATTATTTTTCCGTTTGTATTTATCACTTATGGCTATTATC